CTTCCTGGCTTCTTCCTCCGTAATTTCAGAAATTGATTTAAGGTCTCCAATCTTGCGGAGGTGTTCTCCGACAATATTGGAAGCCTTATAGTCATCTGAACGAGCAACCCAGGCATAAAGTCCAGATTTTTGGTCACTATTAGCCTCCCAATCCTTTTTTCCATGATGGTCTACATCATAAGCCTTCTCAAATGACATGGCATTAACATAACCAGGCCAATCTTTCCTAAACTCTACAATGGCACTTCCCGAGTGACCCCGATAATTCCATAAAGGGTGCACCCTTAAGGGATTGAATCCCCTCCTTTTTAGCTCATCTCTCAGTTTCGATCCACTTTCTCCGACGAATCGCCCATCATTGGCCCGTCTGGTTGGAATATTAACCACAACCCCTGTCCAAGGCCACACTAACTTTTCATCCTGGTCACAATCAATTGGCGGTTCTTCAGCCACAGTTTTAGATGGACCACCTTCAGCTGCTAGATCTTTTTCCAAATATTTCACCACAGCTAAGTGTTTGGCCTTTTCTTCTGTGCTTCTCTTATCTGAAGTACTCTTTCCCACCCCAGAAGCATGTTGGAGAAGTTCCTTGAGAACAAAATCCCGCTTTTTCTTACTCGGGCAGAAAGGGCAAGTGTATCTCCCATCTGAGCTTCTCACACTGTGTTTTCCATTCTTCAGCTCTTCATAATATTCTTCTACCTCCTCATCCAGTTCTGTTTCGCTCATGTCCGTATCATCTTCAGAGCTATGATCCGCCACGCTTCCCATTTGAACAGTACTTAAAAAGCACTAAACCCTGAAAACAGAAAATACGAAATATCAATGCCACTAGTCATTATTATGTGAATTCGATGATTTTGAATAGTTCATTTTCTGGCAAGATGAACATGTGCAGCCGCGGTTAAAGTGAAAAAGCAGGTGTTTAGTTGCCGCTGTTCAGTTTGGAGAGTTCAGGATACTGTTAATCTAATTTCTTTCGAACTTAACAATATTTGCACCAAAAACCCCAACATAAATGTCCCCAAAACAGTTCATGGAAAAGAAAGGCATATGGGTAAATTTGTTGTTCCCTGAAGCAGAGAATCAAGGGGTTTCAAATTAAAAGCAACTTACAAGTTACAGGTCACAAGCTGAAAGATCGAACCCATAAAAAGAAGGACATGCATAACCAACATTCAGGATACATGAAGAAATCACACAAATTAAGGCTTTGGGTTTCACAAGTTTAGCCCTTGTACAGCAGTGAAAGCTCTATATATAGAATTCGGGTTCGGTCTCCGCATCATTCCTCATTTCTCTACAGTAAAATCACTCATAACCAAGGTCTAAAATATCGATATTATCCCGATATTTCCATCGAAATTTCCGTGTTTTTGGACTACCGATATTTCCGATATCATCGATATTTTAGACCTTGATAGGAACTCTATGTGGTACTAAGTCACCCATGTATCTTACCATGCAATGTATAAAGTGTAAAATATTGTACTAATTCATTATATATAAATGATTATGGTGTGTTTAAACTTCTTTTATTAATTACTACATATTTTCTACACTCACAATGTTTGTCAGCTCGCTATATAATCAACTTAAATTATTTAAATCCATCATGCAATGCATTTCCTTCCAATTTTTTGTGATAAACTAATAAATAATTGACTAAATAAACATCCTACAAAGTTTCAATAAAAATTTCCAAGTTTTTCTTACAATTTCCATGATTTTTATTCAATTTTTATCGATATCGATAATATCCCAATATTTCCATTGAAATTTCCATGTTTTTTTTACTACCGATATTTCCGATATCATTGATATTTTAGACCTCATAACACAATTTCCAAAATAATCATCCATTTTTGCCTTAAAAGAAACATCTTGCTATATGAAACCGCATTGTACACAAAATTCACACAAGCCCAAAAAATCATAAAAACTCGAAAAGAAAAATCGTCAAAAATTGAAAGAAAACAGTACATAAATAGTGTCCTAATTGTTATTCCTGCAACCAAACACACACACACAAAAATTATACAAGCAGATGCCGCAGATCAGTGAAAACACAGAACAAAACGGAGACTGAAGCTGCAAAACTCGAACCCAAACAACCCAGAAACCCAAAATTAACAATGCATGCTGTACATTCAACATTTCAACCAAACAAGCACGTGCATGTAGCGGAACAAGCAAACCCAACAGCGATCAGCTAAATTGTAGAGAGGGAGAGAGAGATTGACCTGCGGAAATCGGAGCTCCTGAGCTCCAAAATTAGGGTTTGCGGGGGAAGAAGAATTGGGGGCAGGGCCCTGAGAGATTCGCAGCAGCTCAGTGCTCAGAAGAGGCCATAAACTTAAAAGCGAAAGAGGACATTGGTAATTGGAGCACTGTGGTGTGCGTGACAAGTGAGAACATCGGGAAGGCGACAAATGTATGAAGTTGGAGACGTCAACGACCCTTTGACTGAATCGGGAGTGATGAGATGAGTTGGTAAAAGTTATAAAAGTTGGCGAAAATTTATGGATTTCCGAGTTAAAATTTATGGATTTGGGGTAAATTTTGACGGGTCCTGTGGGGACATGTCTTATCCAATCTGTTAATTTTCCTGACATGTTTAATTACCTAGCTCAGGTGGATTTCTCTTTAATCTATGGTATGTGAAATGTGATAGAGATTTTTTTATAAAACTTTTTGTATAATGTTTGTATACAAATTAACGTTAAACTCTGAATTGTCAAATAGGTTATAATGAGTCCCATCTTTTTTTCTTTTCTTCTGTTTTATTTTTTTAACACAATGAGAGTCCCACTTTAGGCCTTAGCATTTCTCTCTACGGCATTTCATCATTGTTGTTTTACACAATTTTAGAAATAATTTATTTTGATAAAATTTTAGAAATAATTTAATAAAATTATTTAATCCGTCAAACCTAATTTACATAGGTAACCGTTCTGAATAGCTTGGTTTCAAAGATTAAATTTTGGGTGTTTCACGGTTACGAATAATTGTTGTGTTAATTTTTCGATTTCAAGTTTGATTATAGTTATTGAGGTATCCACCCCGAACCCATACATGAAACTAAACCGTTTTCATCTTTTAATAAAAATTTATTATATGGGGAAGCGAATTATCAATAATCATATTTTTATTTTTATTAATTATGATTTATATGACGCTTATTAATTATTAATAGTATAAATATTTTTATGATAAAGATGATATTTAATATTATTCAGTATATGCATTATATCAGTTGTATTAACATCAATAGTCTATTTTATTTTGTTTTTATGCAAAATCCTCTATTTAATTATATAAATAGATATATAATATATAACTATTGTAAATTTGTAATGGAAAAACCAGTTACTATATGGAAAATATATTATCCAACAGGTAGGAAAACTCGTTTGGGGATTCTACGATTTTTTTTTAACACATGATATTATCTACACTAAGGGGTGGGGAAGTGTGCTAAGGTTCACAATGAGTTAGCAATAATGTGGTTCAAAATCGCCTTTGACGAAAAGTAAACTTAAGACCTCTCTTACAAGTGAAGAAGAATACCACTAGACCGTAGTACTAAGTGGCGAAAATTCTATAACTTTGGATTTGGCTACACGAGTTTAGGTGTAGGGTGGAACGTCTGAGCCCAATCCGCTATGTTGTCATCCATACGTAATAGCAATGGAAATGGTGTGGGAAGGATTAAGTGAGCACCTAATTAGAGCATTTCTAATAGGGGATGCATATCCTCTTTCGCATCCCATTTTCATGTCCGATTGAAGTAAGTAGTTTTGTTCTAATGACGAAGATGTATGTATAATATATTGGATTCAAAGTTGATTTACTCATTGTTTGTATATAATTATGATGTGTGTAATTTTAGTTTCCGACCAAATGTGATCGTTGCTGTAAAAAAGAGTTCAAGTTATTTATTTTTTCACGGCATAGGAGAGAGAGCAAGTGCTATAGTAAAAAAGATACGTTATGTGCGTTCTAGGTTTGTCGTTTTCCAACTTTGTAAGCCAGGTGCAAGTAACTTGAGATTGACTCACGCGTTTGACATCTTTAGTTGTGTTTCACATGCAAAACATTTTTTATCTCCTTAATTAGTTTATTAAACCATGCACTTGTGAATGTAACATCTAGTAGTCAATGTTTGGTTTTTTTACATTGACTCAAGAGTTTGTGACCTTTACATACTTAAATTTTCATGTGTTGAAACACTTACATTGTGGGTGGGTGGAGTGCAAATGTTGCTTGTAGGTTATCGCTTCTCATATTGGAAGAGTAAATTGTAGTAATAGTCCATCCACTTTAATCAAATTGGAGCAATGATCTATCAACTAAAAATCTATCAACATTGGTACCTAAACTCATCAAAACATGTTACTATAGTCATTTTCGTCAACTTTGTCAGAACTCTATCAAAATGAGGAACCAGTGGTAATAGATTTTTAGTTGAGAGACCATTGCTCCAATTGGATTAAAGTTGAGGGATTATTGCTACAATTTACTCCATATTTGAAATATAGAGTGAGTGAGAAATATAACATATGAATGACATAGTAACACTTAATATTTACTGTAACTAGCGTTTAATCGCAGTTGCGAAAAACAATCATGATGTGGGTTTGATTGTCACAAACTCCTCCTAACAACTGAGTATTTAACCTAATAACCGTATCACTCTACTAAAAATATAATATAGAATTAGTCCTTGAATTTACGCTTTAGTTTAGGTTTCATCCCTCAATTAAAATTCGTTAATTAAGAACGGTGAATTTAACAAAATATGCAACATTAGTCTATTAGTAAAACTTTTAGTTAACGAAAAAGACTAATACTACACATTTTATTAAATTCGATCTCAATTAATGAATTTTTAGTTGAAGGGGATCAAACTAAAGTGCAAGTCAAGAACCAGTTATAAAGTTGACTAAAAAATTCAATATATACTGTTTCACCTGATCGGTTAGGCGCGCATCAACCCGCTAATAAAATTTAAAACGCCGGATCCGATCCGTTTGCCAGGTCGCCTTCGCAGCCCCACCTCTCTCTCTATCTCGTTACTCAGACACGCTCACAGAGACGAGTGAGCTTTCAGGAGCACCAGAAAACCGTGGAGGAAGATGTTCAATCAATTCGGAGCAACGGCGGAGTTCTCTAAGCAAGGCGTCGACAATGGTGTTCCGGATCGGCACCGACGCGCACCTCTACGACGATCCCGACGACGTCAGCATCGCTCCTCTCCTCGACAGCAGGTTCGACTCCGAGAAGTGCGAGGCTCTCAAGCGATTGCTCGCTCTCATCGCCCAGGGCTTCGAAGTCTCCAATTTCTTCCCTCAGGTCGCTCTCCAACTCCATCACTCTCGAATACGAATCCGAAAATTGATAAAAATTTGAAAAATCGGAGCAATCAATTTTGTAATTTGAATTTCGTTCCGGTTGAATTGGAATTGCAGGTTGTGAAGAATGTAGCGTCGCAGTCGTTGGAAGTGAAGAAGCTCGTTTACTTGTATTTGTTGCATTATGCTCAAAAGTAAGCTGAATTCAATACTCTTTGATTTCATTTGAATCTTTACTCAAAATTTGAGCTATCTTTTTGCTGTTGTTTTCGAAATCATCGATGTTTACATGCATTCAGGCGTCCAAACGAAGCATTGCTGTCGATTAATTATTTCCAGAAGGATTTAGGGGATCCGAATCCGTTAGTGAGGGCGTGGGCACTGAGAACAATGGCAGGGATTCGGCTACACGTTATTGCACCTTTGGTTCTTGTTGCAGCAGGAAAATGTGCTAGAGATCCCTCTGTGTATGTTAGAAAATGCGCGGCCAATGCACTTCGTAAGCTGCACGATTTGCACCTTGAGGAGAATACTGCGGGGATTGAAGAGGTTTGATTTCGGTTTTTTATTTGGAGTTCTTATCATTAAGATGTTGATGTTCATTTGATTCTATTACATGATCTACTGGCTATCTCTTAAATAATGGTCTTCTCTATGCAGATTATTGGAATATTGTTGAATGACTTCCCCTTGTGTTGTTGGAGCTGCTGCTGCTGCTTTCTCTTCTGTTTGTCCGAATAATTTGTCACTGATTGGAAGGAACTATAAAAGGTTATGCGAGGTTCTTCCCGATGTGGAAGAATGGGGTAAAATAGTCTTAATTGGAATCCTTTTGCGCTATGTAGTTGCAAGGCATGGGCTTGTAAAGGATTCCATTATGTTTTCTTTGCATGGAACTGAGAATTCTCGATCTGAAAAGTATTGCTTGGATAACAACTCTGCGTTGGATGACAACGGTGACATGAATGATCTTTATGAGTCTGAATTAACAAATGCTGTATCCCGTTGTTATATTGAAGGACCAGCTGAATATTTATCGCGATTAAGTTTCATGAATAAAGATTCCTCTGAATTTAGTTGTGCTCGTTTTACATCTGGAAAAAATAATGATGATGTGAAGATCCTGCTGCAATGTACATCGCCATTGTTGTGGAGTAATAACAGTGCAGTTGTACTAGCCGCTGCTGGCGTACATTGGATTATGGCGCCGGTGGAGGATTTGAAAAGAATCGTTAAGCCACTCTTGTTCGTCCTAAGATCATCTAATGCCTCAAAATATGTGGTAGTTAACATTTCCTTACAGTTTAATTGGTTTGTATGTGGTATTGAAGAACTACTTTTTAATTTTATTGATGCATGCATGTGACCGTGTTTAAAAGGTCGTACCCAGTGCACAAGGCTTCCGCTTTACGCAGGGTCTGGGAGAGGTGAATGTCGGCTAGCCTTACCCCCATGCATGTGACCGTGTGAATTCATATATTGTTAAGATTTCATAAACTTTCTTTTGTCCTGTTTGAATTTTCTTTTCTTACCTAACAGTTGGTAAGACGGTGAAGATTGTTTTATTGATTGATCAGTGCAGGTTTTATGTAACATTCAAGTGTTGGCCAAAGCAATTCCTTCACTCTTCTCTCCATACTTTGAAGATTTCTTTATATGCTCTTTGGATTCATATCAAATTAAAGCTTTGAAACTGGATATACTGGCTTACATTGCTACAGATTCATCAATTTCATTTATACTCAAAGAATTTCAGGTATTTTTTTTTCCTGAAGAAATTATATTTTGCCTTTCCTCTTATGACAGAGACTCATATGTACTAGATTTTTCATACTTTAAGTGCATGTGTGTGGATGGTGTATTTTAAGTTTTTCAGTCATTATGTTTGATTTATTAGTTGCCTAGTTGGCTTTCGGACTTCGCTATGCATCATCAACTTTATTTGAGAATTGCAAGCTTTTATGATTGTTAAAATTTATAAAATGAAAGGCATGTAAGCTTTGCTTATTGTTTTTGTTTGTTGCTAGGATTATATTAGAGACCCAGACAGGAGATTTGCTGCTGATACTGTTGCTAGAATTGGAATATGTGCGCAACGACTTCCAGAAATGTCAAATTCATGCTTGGAGTTTCTATTGGCTTTGACCAGACAGCGTCTGTGACTATCTATCTGTTGTGTGTAGAAGTTGAAAAAACTTTGCTTTTTGATTTCTGAATTATTATCTAATTTTGCAGAACTTACAACAGGTGAGTTTGGGTCTGTGGATGCTGAAGCAGATATACTGATTCAAGCAATAATGTCCATAAAGTCAATCATTCAGCAAGATCCACCCAGTCATGAAAAGGTATTTTCAAAATTTTTGCCAAGTTGCTGCCATTAGATGTGTAGTCAGGGCTAGATACGTGATTTACTAGTGTAGTATGCGATTCTTTGTTACCTTGTCTTTCTTCTCTCTTTTTTTTTGGGGCATTTATTAACAAACTTTTATGCCTTTTCAAGGTTATTATCCAATTGGTTCGAAGTTTAACTTCAATAAAGGTGCCTGATGTGCGTGCTATGGTTGTTTGGATGGTGGGGGAGTATAACTCTTTAGGTGATCTCATCCCAAGGATGTTAGCTACAGTGCTCAAGTATCTTGCAAGGTGCTTTGCTTCCGAAGAAGTGGAAACAAAGCTTCAGATTTGTAATACCGCTGTTAAGGTACTACTGCATAGTGGTCTTCTCTAAGTAAAATAAAATAAAGGTCGTACCCAGTGCACAAGGCTCCCGCTTTACGCAGGGTCTGGGAGAGGTGAATGTCGGCTAGCCTTACCCCCATTTATGGAGAGGCTGCTCCCAAGAGTGGTCTTCTCTAAGTAAATGTGGTAAATATCATTATGTTTGTTTCTAAATGTTGAGGTGATCTGTTCTGTAGGTTTTATCAGGGACAAAAGGGAATGACCTGTTGACAATCAAAATGGTTTTAATCTACGTGTTGGAGTTGGCCAAATGCGATTTAAACTATGACATTTGTGACCGAGCTCATTTCTTAAAGAAACTTCTTTCAACTTATCTAGATTCTCAAGGCTTGGAGGAGGAAAACAACCGTCCGCCCCAAGATAAAGATAGTTCACGTCTCCTGGCAGAAATCTTGTTTGGAAAACAAAGGAAACCAGTGTCCCATGAGCCCATTGATCAACGGTTTTACCTTCCTGGCTCTTTATCGCAGATAGTACTTCATGCTGCTCCTGGGTACGAACCTCTCCCAAAGCCTTGTAGTTTGCGCAGTGATGGCCCCAAACTCAATGAATTTGGAGAGGCAGTCACTAATGGTGACCAATATGTTACAGATGATGAGGACTCAGCTGGTTCTGCACGTGAAGATGATGGTAATTCTCATCAGTTGATTCAGTTTTCAGATAAAAGGACAAATGGAGCTTCTCAGTCTGCTTCTGATTTTGGGGAGTTGTTGTCAAATAGAGCTTTAGAATCATGGTTAGATGACCAACCTGGTTTTTCAAACCCAAATACTTCAGAACAAAGTCAAGTCCGTACGTCTTCAGCAAGAATCTCCATCAGGGACATCGGAGGTCAAGTTAGACATAAAAGCTATCCACTCTTAGACCCTGTGAATGGAAACGGCTTAAAGGTTGACTATTCGTTTTCATCTGAGATATCAAGTATCTCTCCTCTATTTATATGTATAGAAGTTTCCTTCAAGAACTGTTCAAAGGAGACCGTGTCTGATGTGACTTTGGTTGACGAGGAGGCTGGCAAAGGCAAGGATTCTGTAGACCAAGCTTCGTTTTCAGATGAAAGGTAATTTAACTGTACTTGTCTGATATGATGCTAATCTAAAATTCCAGTTTTCTTCTGAATTTATTTTATTTTATTCTTGGATGGATGTTGGTTATGTCAGTTATCATATACCTTTTGTTACGATTATCTTGATACCACAGCTCAACGATACCTCAAAATAATGAGCCAAATCTGGTTTCTATAGAAGAAATCACTTCTCTGGAACCTGGCCAGACTGTGACAAGAAGCATCCAGGTCCGCTTCCATCACCACCTCTTGCCTCTAAAACTGACCTTATATTGTAACGGCAAGAAGCATCCTATTAAATTGCGGCCTGACATTGGATACATTGTAAAAGCTCTTCCTATGGATGTTGAAGCCTTTACAAATAAGGAGTCTCAACTGCGTGGAATGTTTGAATGCGTAAGAAGGTAAACTGGCTTGTTTTTCTAATGTCGTATATACAAATTTCTAACTTATTAATCATAGTTTCCAAAACAACCCTTCGCATTTGGTCTTTTGCTGTGTATTCTATATTGAGTGTTGTGTTTTCTTCAACAGGTGCACCTTCACTGATCACATCAAGGAGTTCGACAAGGACAACTCATTGGTAGAAGACAAATTTCTCGTAATCTGTCAAAGTCTTGCATTGAAGATGCTTAGCAATGCAAATCTTCATCTTGTATCCATCGATTTGCCAGTTGCAGCGAAGCTTGATGATGCAACAGGTTTGTGCTTACGATTCAGCAGCAAGATTTTGAGCACCTCTGTCCCCTGCTTGATAACCGTTACTGTCAAAGGTAGATGTACAGAACCATTGGAAATATCAGTTAAAGTGAACTGTGAAGAAACTGTATTTGGGTTGAATCTTCTGAACAGGATCGTAAATTTCTCAGTCGAACCCTCTCATGCCCATAGGTAGCTAGTAAGGACATCGGAAACCAGTAATCAAGTTTTGGAGTTAATAGAAAACCCGCCGTGTACTGCCAACTATTCCGGCTATCCGGATGTTTAACGTATTGTCTGTACAGCGGGCAAAAGCACTGTAATTATACTCATTCTCAGATTTGTCTCGAGTTCGTTTTCTTTCGCTCGGAAAGTGTTTTTCTGGATATTCAGTCTACTATTTGTAATTTATAGGACATAAAAGTTGGTGTAATTCAAATCCATCTGAATAACACACAGAAGTTAAGCGATTTATCGATGACATTCATGCTACGCTATGCCCTCCTGCAGTTGTTATTTTGGCTCACAATGGCAACAAGTACCGGAACTCAGATTCATAAGGTTGGACTTCCACCATTTTGCTGATCGGAGACTTTGTTTCTCCGTTCAAGCACTCGATTATCGATCTTTTCAGTGAACCAGACCGCTGCAGTTGGCTGTAAATCCATTCCAGCAATGATTCCATACTGTCTGCAAAATCGAGCATGTGCCATTGAAGAAGCTCGGGCACCACAATTTTCTTTCTTGCTTGTGACTTCCACTGAAGCTTCCAAGTACTCCAGTTTCGCTCTCTCTAACTCATTGACTATGTCATCGGAGGTATAAACCCTTAACTGCACGCACATCAGAGCTTAATTTCATCAAAGTTAGGGAGAAAAATGTTGTGAAATAAAGTAGGGGAGAGCTAGGCACTACTTACTGCCGGTGAGGACCAACTGCCGCGGCAAAGGGCAAATGTGACGTAAGGTTCGGGGTATCCAAGACCATAGGCATGTCTTAGTAGCATCTCCTTCCCATAGGCAGGTCCCTACCCAGTGGGATGTAAATTGATCAGGAAAAAAAACATATGAAAAAAAGAGAGGGTGCAGTTAGAGCTCAAGTTTTGATCTGTTTCACGTACATGTTTCGATTCAGATGGATGACGGAGAATGAAATGCTCTGTAGCCAGACGAAAACAGGATCATTTAGTCTCAGTATTATCTGAAAACTATAAATTTAAACTCATCTTTTAGCCATCTGCACTCCCAACTGAATGGTTTACGTTTTTTTCTACGAATACCAGAATCGGTGTACCTTGTTCATAAAAGCCAGCAGTTTCTCCTGTGTGGAAGGCAGCCCATGTTCCAGAAATGCCGGAAATTTGATAAGAAATAGAAGCACCCATTACATATCATTTTCGGATTTTTCGGTCTTTTACTAGACGTTGCTTAAGATCTTTACAGTACATGCATGATGCAGGCATTGTAGATGCTGATCCAGAATGCCAACTTTTGCTTGTAGGTCAAGAAAGTCAAGTCCACATCACACAGCTGATGCATCAAATTCCTGAATTCACAAAAAAAATGTCATCAAAACAATGCTGTCCAGTTTTGACAATGCTTGTAGGTCAAGTAAGTAAATACCTCAACTTTTCGATTCCATTCAAATACTCAGACAAGCGGCTGACATCAAACGAGCTCCTCGTGATTTGGATTAAGTTCTTATACGGGCCAACATCCCTGACAGCGCCGTCTAAGTCAGGCAATATGCAATAAGGGTCGGCATTGGATGAGGTGTTGTAGTTGAAGAAATTGTGGATGTTGAGGTCTTCGGAATGAGCCCTTTCGAGTTCATGCAGGAGAGAGCAAGCTTTGGGACAACAAATGATCCCTCTTTGTCCAGTGATGTTTGTTTCAGTTCAAGAAATATGCATGTAAGGCACTTGAGAAGTTCCTCTGAGAGTTCATTTGGTTTCGGATCATTTTCTCCATGGCCCTGGTTTTTGCTTCTTCCACTTACCCTCCTTGACAATTCAGCAGCTTCTCCTGTTCAAACAAACGGACACGTTGAGAAACGCTCATTTCTACTTAGTAATCTTAAGTTTAGATCCTATTTATTGACACGGGTTGATTGTTTTAGCCTTTCAAGGTGTTGCGATGATTCAATCGACATTAAGATCTAAAACTTCAGGATTCTAGTCTCGGATCGGTCGAAGGGCGATTCCATACACTTGACGATCAACTATATCAATAAATGAGATCAAATTAAAGTTGAATAAATATGATAATAAGTGAGATTTTCATGAAGCGTCCATCCTTTAAGAAAGAATAGACGTCTTGCATACATGATTTTGATGGGGTCGGTCTCTAGTAAAATCGGACTATTGGTACAATCCAATCCCGATCAGAATTGTTGAATAACATATAGTCTCACATCGGAAATCTTACAAAATAAAATACAACGTAAGTTAAGTGGTTCGATTACTAATATCACTGATGCCTTTTCTGTTAAACAAGCAGTTTACCATCGGACTTGGTGAAATTCCACCTTGGGATATCTGCTGCAGAACCCACAGATGCTCTTCTATCCCTCAACCTTCTTTCTTTTCTCAAATTTCTCAAAGCTTCATAGTTCTGCGATCTGCATCTCTCTTCGTTTAGCACTGACTGGTTTCCCACTCTACACAACAACTGCTTCTGTTGCCCTAATTGCCACATATGCACTTTCCATTCTCTTGTTTGTTCCCTTTCTTTGTACAACCTCAGTTTCAGCTCTTCGACTTTTCTGTCAAGTTGACCTATCTCTTCCTCTACCATTGCAAGCTCCGAAAACAGCTCCTGAACCTGCCATGAAAAATGTGTTGATATCTCAACCTGCCATTGTCAGACTGAATTTAGACCGGCATGTTCATGCAAGAATCAACGTGACCGAACCGGCAGATTCACAGTTTGACAACAGAAGAATACCTGAGCTGGAAGCAAGGAAAAAAGACGTGGATGTGACTGAACGGGATCATGAAGTGCACAACGCAGAAACCTGCCTAGTGTTTGTTCTCCTTCCAACTTTGCCTGCAATTTCTTAACCTGTATAAACACACAAGAATTTGACTGTGTCAAGCTTATGTGACAAATTCCTAACATGTTTCACAAAATTCTACGTCGGAAAAGGGCTAAAAACTTATATAATCATCATCACCTCTTCCTCAAGATCAAGTCCTCTCTGCTTCTCCTCGTTTCGTTGCATTAGAAAGTCTTCTAATTTCATTATTTCCAGAAGCAAAGATCACTACTACTAACAGTTTGGAAGTAAAAATTTGAGGGCTGCACGCTGCAGGAATATGGGAAGTTATACTGTTACTGAGACACGGAGAGGTGCTTAAAAAGAGAGAGTGAGGTGACGTCGTGGGTGCCATTAATGGTTGGTAACAAAGCAAGAGCGGGAGGTTGAGATTTGAGAAGATTGAGAGGGAAGGAGGAGGGAAAATTGGGAAATTGAAATCCATGAGAAATGAGAATGTGGTCGTGTAAGAATTTTTTTTCTGCTGACATAATTAGGTATCGAACTTATCACAAATATATATTGTGTACTATTTTCCTAATGTATTTAAATCGTGACTTATTTTAACTGAATGGAGGCAAATATTACTTGACCGAAAGCCAATTGACAGGGGTGGAATAATCTTTGAAGATTGTGAATCAGTGATTGTATACAGTTGGAATTATTTATCATTATTGTTGTTGTTAGGGAAGTGCATGGCAATCCCATGCTCTTTCTACAAATTGAATTTTCATTTAATTTCAACTGCAGGAGGAGGCTGGTGGGGGCGTGAAGTCCATGATCAAAAAATTAAAAAAAATTAAAAAAATAAAAAAATTTGGAAAAGTAAAAGAACTGCGGAGAATATATTTAACTAGGGCTGGAAAAAATACCGAAAATCCGAACACGAACCCCCAAAACTGAAGCATACCAAAAATAGAAAAACATCGAAAGTTTTAGTAAGCATACCAAAAATAGAAAAACATCAAAAAATTTAGTATGGTATTCGGTTTCTTTAGACCCTATTTAGTGAAAAAATGTTTTGTTGTTGTTATTCAGTTTCTTTTGACCGTTTGTTTGGTAATCCCAAACCGAACTAATAATGTTTTTAATATAATTTTATATTTAAATAAATTAATAGTAGCCGTTGGATTCGGATGAGATTGAATCTCAACTGTTCGTCTCTCAACCTCACCCTTTGACGACTCTGACCTCACAATTTCTCTCTCGACTCCGACGCCATCTCTCTCTCGACCTCAGCTCTGCAACTTCTCCGGCTATCAAAACGCCGGCGACACCAGACCATTGAGCACAACACGACAACTCAGTTCCAATGGCATCGCCAAAATCTTCTACAGTTGGACCGCTGACAAGTGAAGAACTGATGTGCTGCAAATTGATCTGCTTGATATATTGAGGTTAGGTTTCTATGATTTGATGATTTGATTGCTGAATGGTTGCTGCTTGCTTGCTGCCAAGATTATGGTTGTTGAATTGTTGTTGCTTACTTGCTGCCAACTGTTTTAAATTATGGTCGTTGAATTGTTGTTGCTTGCCACCAAGATTAGACATCTTGTTTGATTGTGCCACTATGCTTGCCATTGGATTTGCTGCCATTAGACTTCTTGTTGCTCGCTTGCTGACATTAGATTGAAAAACTGAACTTCCTGTTGCTTCTTGTCATTAGCTAGCTGTTGCTTCTTGTTCCAAATTGAAAATTATGCTTGGTGCCAAAAATACAAGATTAGTGAAACATTATGCTTGCTGCAAAAATTATAGTTATTATTGATTGTTTTAACTTTAATTAATAATATGATATTTATATACGTTAAACTGATTGTTGTGATATATTATTGTGCATTTTTCGGATGAAAGGGTCTAGCAGCCAATCTAGTATATCTAAGGTCTTAGGTAACCGAAAACAAACAAGCCAAACACCTACACACCCTCAACCTCAAGTAGAAGGTTGCAAACTTGCAAAGGATGTTGTGGAAAGGAAATTATGGTACAGATCCAACACCTAATAAGGTTGCTAAAGATGTTTTTGCTCTTCCTAGTAGGACCGTTATTAGTGAGAATGCCTTTAGTCTTAGTGGATGGGTTGTTGATCCTTTTAGAGTTTCCTTAACACCTACAACGATTGAGACATTAGTGTGCACTAATGATTCGCTTAGGGAATGAATTTTGTTTCTACAAGGAGCCTACAATTGACAATCTCATATTATACAAGAAACTTAAAGAGTTAGAAAAATGTAAGTATTTAATTTCATGTTTTTATTTTTTATTCTATACATTGAATTCGCTATATAATAATAATAATAACAACAACAACAATATACTAATTTGAAATAGTCTGCGATTTGTTGCTACATGTAGGGGTGCCTAATTTTGAAGGTGAGTATCTGAATCAAAGTGAAATGGCAGCTCCTCCATCGCCTCCGCCACCTCAAATTCAATGACGCCATTCACTACCTCCACGACCAGCCATTTCAAAATCAAGTGGTAGGGGTCAATCATCTAAATGAGTCAAGCTTCTACAAGGAGAAGGGGTCGACCATGTACGAGGGAAAGAGGCCTAAAAGGGCCAATACTCATCAACTGCTTGAACTTTGAACTAAGAGTTGTCATGACTAAGTTAGTTAATTGATTTCAAAACGAACTCTAAGTTGTGCCAATGTTTTGAAGCAAAGTGGCAAAGTCTACAAGAAATTACTGAAAAAAGAGTTGTAGAATTTTGTATGTGAATTGGCAAAAAAATAAAAAAGCTTCAGAAGCCAAACAAAATTAGGCTGAAAAGGTGTTCGTGGTTGGTTTCTGCGGAGCTGCTTGTTTGGATTTGCCAAATTGTTGGAGGATTGTTTTGGGTTGATTGAGAAACCATTCGGCGGCGGATGCTGGGGTCGAGAAGTCTCTTTTGTTATGTTAATAATGTTGGGCTCTTGGTTGAGCTTTGTTTGGTTAGTTGGGAGGTCCAATTGTGTTTATGGTCTTATTTTGTTTGTGGGCATCTGTTTGTAATATATTGCATGGAATAAAATCTTCTCCTTTCTTCGGAAAGGTTTTACCAAAAACATAAAAAATAAAATAAAAAAAAAGCAACTTAAAATTGGGCCGAAGAACCTTTACCGAATTTCTTTAAGTTGAAATAAAGGAAAATTAATGAAAATGGTTTTAAAATTTTGAGTTTTATCAATAAAGATAAAATAAAGGATAAAGTGAATAATACCAGAATTGACTTTTTAGTGAAAAATGTGGTTTTTCGTTAAAATGAACGGTACCGAGAGTTTTTCATTAAAATTCTCTTGAAATAATCGGGTCCGATTTTGGTTTTTTCCCCTTCCTAAACCATTCGGTTTCCGAACCAAAACCATTTAAATTTAGTAAAGCCCAATTAAGTTCGGTTTCCGAACCAAAACCACCCTTTCTTTTGAATTATATTTTTTTCATTGTGGCCAGCACATGTAGAGAAAAGTTTTATAATTTAAATTGTTAATTTTTTAACACAAGTATTGCACCACTGGTATAGTGACAAATCGTATACTACTCCATGTTTAGAGCACATTAAAAAATCTCTACTTCACATGAGTTATTACATGACTTTGGAAATGTGTGTGTGAGACAGTTGGGGAGTTGCACTAATGCACAAAGCAAACCAAATGACTCTTCTTAGGGGCGGTTTGGGAGTGAGGTGCTTAAAAAAAAAGCACCCATGAAAAAAAGCTGTGAGGGTTTTAGGTGTTTGGTAAACTGAAAAAAAAATAGCTTATTTTGGAAGCTGCTGTGAGAATAAGCTGAAATCAAAGGAAAAAGCTGAAGCTGCTATTTGCAGCTTTGGAAAACTGGTTTTTTTTCAAAGCATAGAGAGCTACAGTGCTCCTTTAATGAAAAAACTCACTATCAGACTGCTTTTTTTTCCAAAAGCACTTTTACAAAAAAGTTTACTAAACACTCTGCTGATTTATTTCACAGCCGCTTATTCTCACAGCACAGTTGCTTATTCTCACAGCAGCTTTTTTTCAAAGCACAGGAATACCAAACCAGCCCTTACGCTGGTAGAGGATGGAAATCAGATACATAAACTCAGAGACCGGTATTTGTAAAAAAATAACATCATTACGGCCTAAGTCGTTGTCGAAAATTTAATTTCAAACATAATCCTCGATTACGAACTGATTACAGAGTACAACTAACCAAAAAAAAAAAGAGAAATGACATAATACTCGATAAATTCTGCTTCCAAACCTATGAATTTGAGAGATCACAAGGAGGCTCAAGACCCCCCAACAAACAAATACTAAAGTGGAAATAAGCCTAGGCATAGCAACACCAGCCCTTGCTATGCCCCAAAATCCTCTCTAAAGGAGCTTAACTACGGTCATCGTGAGTCCCACGGATCGGGAGTCAGCCCAGATTCAAGCTGAAACTCTACCTTGCTATGCAATCCCATCAGCAGAAGTATTGTTTCTCTACTGATATGCAGCACTATGCTTCCATCCTCCAAACGTCTGTCCCCCATAATCCTGTTCTACCTATAAAATGCAGCAAAAAAACCACACACACATCAATCAAACAAGAATTGGTTATGTTGAAAATGTTGTACTAAACTTAAGGGGAAAAAGATGAAGCGAAAAGAAGTTACCCTCGGAGTGAAAGTTAGACCGACTTTAATCTCCCCACGATAAGTATTATCAGCGCGAACAACGCTATATTTAAGAGGATGTAACTCTGCAGTTCCATTCTGCACTCCCTGTGCCAATAAATCCTTCACATATATCCTGCAAATTAAGACCAAATTTGATCTTCCATATATATCAGTCATAACGAATTAAGGAGAACATATCTATTTTCAGTAATAGATAGGTCTTTGCACCACGTTTCAACCATTCATGTTATAACACATGGATTAGTAACATCACGTGACTAAAAAAATTTCGTGTTTAGGCTGAGATTCATTAAAATAAAAACAAAAACACACATGTGTACTGATCACAGTAATCTATTGTAATTAAGAATCTGAGCTCTAAATCAAATTATATATGAAATAATAACATTTTGACTTACGTTGCTTGGCCGATGTAGTCATCAGAAGTGAAGGTGTCTTTGTCCATGATTTTGAGGGTGATCTTATACTGCTCCCCTGACCCTGGATATTCTGCCCTGAATGTAAATTTCTCGTTCCACTCCGGATTACTTCCTTGTTCTGCATCACCATTCCAAATCAGTACATCTACTCTTTGTTGTTTATGCACAACACAACACGAAAGTTGAAGTTGCCACAATGATTATGCATCACAATGTGAATTTTAATATAACAAGCAGGGCTTTCGTGCCGTGATCATCTGATGTAATTGATTAATTATGTAAGCGTTTACTTGCAGGCCGTGAGTTTATTAAGTACTTCAGCAACTTGGCCACGCCGTTTTAATTAATTACAAGTTAATAGGGAAGGAGAAAGCTTTGACCAACATATTAATACGCCTATCAGATTAAACAGCGTAGAGTATAGGGGAGATTTGCCATCTAATATTAATCTATCTGCTCTAGTTGTGCCAGAAAAAGTCTACTGTTAGTTAAGTTCGATGCATTACGCAACAAAGCATAGAATGTATTTGCAATTAAGATTTGAATTTGTTGTTACAAGATTATACCAATAATTGGTCTTATTTAGTTGACTTGCCTTGTTCGTCCAAAAACTCAAGAAACCAGATTTACGAAGAGCATTTTGTTCAAATGGTCGGTGCAAGTGGAGGTGCATTAGAAACTTTAGAAGTTACCTCTCGCGACGCTGCTCTTTTTCTCTTGGCCTTTGTATTGGATCACAACATACGGATCCATACGAGCTGCGAAATCGTACTTTGTGTTAGAATACAATCATTCCAGACTCAGAACAACAACAACCAACAAAAAAGAAGTAATTTTTCATGCAGAAATTGATGCCGTCTAGCAGATCTCGTAGCAAAAACATAAAAAACAACTTCTCCTGGTAAATATGAGTACATTTTAACAGTTGCTACTGAAATTTTTGAAGCAATCTGGATAATAATCCCGGAAAATTTCGGGTTGCTTGAAACATGTACAAGTTGATTTTAAATTGTTTGAAGTTTGGAACGTTTCACGAATGAGCTGGAGATGGAAAATGCAAATTGTGGAGAACAAAATGGTTGACTAAATAAAAAAAAAACAAAAAACAAAAAACAAAAAAAAAACAGCTTTAAGTATTGAGCATGTTAGGAAGAAAACACAAGAAATCAAAATTTTGAAGAACCCCATCAAGGTTTATGAACGCTTTCAACTAATTACGATCTCAAACAAATGAACAAATCACTGAGGTTTAATTTGAACAACATATTGCTAATAAAAGAAAGAAAAGAAAGAGGAGAGAAAATTATACTGAATAAATCGGTGTCTCCGAGGCCCTTTGCACTCACAAGATTCACCTCCAGTAACCCAACTGCCATCTTTCTCTCTCTAACTCTCTCTCTCTCTCTCGCTCTCTCTCTCTCACACACACACTTCTGAGAAATGGGGGAATTTCAATGGAGTTGAATGCTTTGACGTATTTGTAACGAAGGATTCCAAGTTATATATAATACAAAAAAGAGGGCTGTTGATTCTTCCACGACGGGCGGTCAACTCAAGGCCACCTATTATCTCAAACCTCAAGTGGATTATGGATACACGTTTGAATTTATGGGGAGAAAACAAATAATATACGCTATGGATTTGGCAAAGCGGGTGCACTTTTTGACTCGGACAACCTTGACATTAAAATAAGGGCTTGGCCTCTCCAACCCAAAACATCGACAAGAATACAACTACATCATAGTATATTTGTTTTTCTCGTTTATATGTAAGTTTAGGGTTATGTTCATAATCCATTTGCTTATGGACATAATTAGTTAAAACTGGTGGATCTATAAAATATTATTGAAGGGGTTAGTAAGACAGCGCAAATTTTTTTGAACGTAATAGCATATACCAACATATGCCAAATGAGTATGTTCATAGTCTATAGAGGCAATTTGTCGAGCAATTAGAGGGCATATTTCAATGGCATCTCAAATTTCAAATGGAAGCACCAACGGTCCCAAATCTTCCATTGAGGATTTCTAAGCTCGGGGTCATATGACCCACCTTGTCTCAAAGTAGATCCGCCCCTGGTCAAAGTGACTTACCAAAATTGTGTTTTGCGCTGAAGATTATACTGCTAACAATAATTTTACTAAAACTATGAAAGCACAATCAGGTTTCTGCCCAATCAATATTCACACAACCATGTGTCTATATCTCTCGTGACGTTGACATGATTTTGTACAACCCTATACTTGTATTTCTCGACATGATTCTGTACAAGCATGTGTCACAACCATATACTTGTATATCTCGACATGATTCTGTACAAGCATGTGTTTGTCTCTCGTGGCACAACCATGATTCTGTACAACCCGCGCTCGAACAGATATTCTACTTGATAGAACCCACATTGCCATTTTCAGTTTCTCATTCTTCAAATTTCTTGATTACATAAGCATGCTTCTATCAATCGAGCAGCGGATTTGACCAGCGTACGAATTAATATTATTATTATTTGTTTCAATTTAAGACGCATCAAATGAAACCATAGAACTTTCGCGGTCCAAAGACACCAAACCGAGGTTTTAATTGTTCCAAATGTTCGCACACAAGCCTACTACTCAAGCACATCATACTGATCTTACAAACCCGAAAAATTCAAAAATCTTCCAAACATCATTGAACGAAGTTGATACATTCACACGACAGCCTTTTTCCTCATCTGCTGCGCGCAGGTGATAACTCAGCAGATCTGGACCTAGATCCCGATGGCGATCTTGATGCTCTATCAGGAGACCTCCAGTGATCTCTTCCGTCCTTTTCTTCGCGCATAGGTTTCCTACAACAGCATAACAAGAACGCACGGCCAACATAAAAGATCAGCATTACGTTCAGATGCATGCTAAATAAAAATCAACCACTTTATAATGACGGCATCGTCCAAAAGATAATGCATACTGAGAGACCTACAGTATAAGCTAGAAAAGTGAAGCAATTGGAAACTCACTTGTCATACTCATCACCGTTGTCATTTGGTCCAGCAACATTGTCATAACCTGGAGAATAGGGTCTGCGATCACCATCTCGCACTGGTGGAAGATCTCGGGGTGATCTTGGGTTGTCTCGGCGCCTTCTGCTTGGTGAAATAGAGTCGCCTCGGCGTCTTGGAACAGGAGAATAGGACCTGAGAAAGTTATTTGTCAATGCATCCACCTGCATCACTGGGTGTCCCAAAACTAATATTAAATGAAATCAGGGAAATCCGCCACCTTCAAAGCTTACCTTGAGCGGTACCGACTTCTAGAACCTGATGGATAGCGTGGTGAGCGTGAACGAGAATGTGAACGTCCTGTGACATATCAGGTACAGAATGGTGATTAGTGTTTAACAGAAATGGCATCCTAGATATAACAAATCATATGGCCCTGGATTTCCGGTGGTCAAGAAAAAGCATACCATAATGAATAGAGTAATGCTAGGGAGACTAAATTTAAAGACTAAAATTGCAAACTAAATGATGTGTCACCAATAGAAATGAGCACGTCTATCAACGCTCAAGTAATAAACCAATCATTGGCTTACATGTCCTTTAGTTTCCAAAATTTAGTCTCCCTAGCGTTACTCATAATGAATATAACTTGTACTGTCAGAAGAAACATACCATAATAAGATGATCGTCTTCCCCCATGATCTGATGGCTCTCTGAAAAAGGTAAAACAGGAAATTGGTATTCCAAACATACAGAACCAAGTTAATAAGAAAGATACCGAGAGAGTGAGAATGAGAGAGAATAGCAGAAACTACCTAACCCTAGTCCTTTGCCGCATCTCCTCCGGCCTTTTCCTTGTCTCTGCTGCAACAACCACAGATATCTCCCTCCCAGCAAAAATCTTCCCATTCATATGATACTGAGCCTCGGCGGCCTCATAAGAATCCACAAACTGAATAAATGCAAATCCCCGAGGTTCCCTACATAGAAGTTCAAAAAAGCTCAGTACAGTACAAAGTAGCAGAAATCAAGAGTGAGCAAAGACAGAATATATAAAGCAGTGACTTTTCAAATTAAGCATGGTAAGTTACCACCACAACGTCATTACTCAGTATACCTTTCTTCACACATCTTACATCAGCTCTGGAGCACTTCCACTTAAGTGGATGCTGAATTTACGTAAAGCAGGTTAAATTGAAGCTTAGTGGCTGACCTTTTCTTTATAGTCAAGTATGAAAGGCAACTTCAAAACATGCAAGTAACTTGGAAATTCTTCCCATTCTTTAAGAAGCACTTGAAATCAACGTTGGCCACAAATTCTTCACATTCTTGTGATTATAAGAAGCACTTGAAATCAACGTTGTCCTCACCAAACTTCTATTGGATTGTTGTAATTATATAATTTCGCTTCATAAAAAAGAAGGATTCTTCATTTGAACATTACTCCTAACTCGCTTGGAGTACCACTATGTTATGCAATGATAAACAGTAGGCCTTCATCAAATGTGAGGCTTGGGCTTGTTTTAACTTCAAATTTCAAACTTCAAACCAACACAACCCCTGACAAACCAGTTCAAAAATTCACTATGAAAGTGGAAAATAAATATTTAAAAAAAAATAATTTATGAAATTCCACATACATTGCACATTGTAAGGAAGGATGCAACAACGTAGATGTATGGAATCTGAAAGAACTAAAATTTCAAATAGCATGCTTATCAACCGAGTTTCACTAGCATGAACTACAAGCACGATATGTAAATAGATGTCGACTTCAAACAAACGAATTCATCCGTTTGAAGCTTTTATATGATATGGATAGTGCTCATTCACTTATCAAACACAGCAAGCTCAGGTTTATTTTTCAAGATTATCACCTACGAAACCATTATCGACTTACGAACAAGCATTGACAAAAGTAAAGCTCACCCAGTGTAGTAGTCCTTGGGAATGTAGACATCCCGAACTTCCCCATATCTTTCAAAGGGAGCTCTCAGCTCTTCAGCTCTGCAAAATTAAACAAAACCCCAGTTTCAGAAAACAGAGCAGTGAAAATCACCAAAAAAATCCAAACTTGTCGTTCACAGGACCTGCAATCCAGAGGAATGTTCCGGACCAAAAGACTTCCATTGTTCTGCTCCTTGCGCCTTCTTGGGGGGCTCCTTCCTCGCCCACCTCCTCCTCCTCCACCGCCGCCGTAGCTCCTCCTCGGAGGACTATAGTACTGTGGGCTGTACCTCCTCATATCCAACACTACAAAAGTACCCAACTCGATTGGTTTCAAGATCACATAGCACGAAGAAGAAACAACCGTTGGAATTAGGGTTTTGCCAATTTTTCTGATCGGGTGAAGATTTGAAGATTCAAGCGAAGAAATTACCTGTAAGTTTCCTGAAGACGGTTAATCGTACTGACAACGGGCGAGCTTCGAAGAAATTGTACTTTTTGGATCTGAAATTTCTGAAGAGAGAGACTGTTTCAAACAATCGAATCGCAACCCTGATTTTAAGAGCCGGCTCGCAGCTTCGACTCTTCGGTTCGGACACTCCATCTGATGACGTACTTTTGATGGGCCGTTGGGCCGGGTTTTCTCTGACCAGTTTTTCCGGGCCCTTATTTCATTTCGTACTATTACCTGTCTTTTCATGCATCTCTTTCAATTTTTCATCGTGAGATTGAATGAATTAAAGAAAATTAATAAAAAAATTACTAAGAAAGGTATACTGTGCGAAGGCAAGTGATAGTTTATTTCTTCACAAATCGTAAGAAGATGTAGTTCATGGGATATACTTTAAATTGTTCTTTCTTTTTTTCGCTTTCTAGGGTTCTACACTCATTCTCCACTCATAAATCTTGGCTGCGTTTTCAATTATTTGAAGATACCTTTGATGGTATTTAGCTGGAATGGTTCGTCAATCGTCAATGCATGTTCAATTCCTCAACATCACAAGGGTAAAGATTTTTAATCCTTTGGCGGTCCTCTTGCTTATCAAAAAGTCCCCCCTTTCCAAGGTTCTAGATTTCTATGAAACATAAAAAATCACCAACAACAACAACAAAGCCTTTTCCCACTAAGTGGGGTCGGCTAATATGAATCCTAGAACGCCATTGCGCTCGGTTTTGTGTCATGTCCTCCGTTAGATCCAAGTACTCTAAGTCTTTTCTTAGAGTCTCTTCCAAAGTTTTCCTAGGTCTTCCTCTACCCCTTCGGCCCTGAACCTCTGTCCCGTAGTCACATCTTCGAACTGGAGCGTCAGTCGGCCTTCTTTGCACATGTCCAAATCACCGGAGCCAATTTTCTCTCATCTTTCCTACAATTTCGACTACTCCTACTTTACCTCGGATATCCTCATTCCCAATCTTATCCTTTCTCGTGTGCCCACACATCCCACGAAGCATCCTCA